AGTAATGTAATCGCGAAAAATTCGAAATTGAGATATTACCTTTCTTGGGTGGTATTTGACACGTACATCATGAAAAACCGCGTCACTCATTTCCGTCGGGCTGTCTGTTTGTCTGCTAATTTTATAATCGCCCATATCTTGAAAAATAACGCTCGGATTTTGATGAAATTCTCATACAAGGTTATTACTATGCCAAGGGTAAAAACGCTGGTTTTTGAAAATCGGTTTAGTGGTGACGGAGAAAGATAAGAAACGAATAAGAAATGAATATCGCCCAAACTTTGTTTTTTGAACGTTTTAAAGGGTCTTGATCAAATTCAGAAAAAAATTTGTAGGGGTTGAAATTTGGAGATTGGGGGTTGTATTGGGTGAGGAAGAGGGTATTATACCTTTTTTTATCTTTATATTATATTTATTCGCTCCCAACCCCGGTAATTCTTGGCTTGGCGAATCAGGCTTATATATGTATTCGTACTGAAGCTCAAAAAACATACGGAGCTTGCACGAACCGAAAGATAACTCGCTGCCGAGATGCCGCGCAGTGTGGAAACGTTGCCACATGGTCTGTAACTACCAGAAAGGCAGGGAAAGAATGTCTATGGACTAATTGTATGTGACTGTTTGACTGACTTAGGGCCAATTTCACCAACAACAGTCCGTTATTCTCCACCTATAGGCTTGCATACTTTAAAAGCGAAAATAAATTGTAGTTTTCATGTTCATATTACTTCATTGTTTGGTCGAATCAAACCACAATTATTTTCTGTTGTTTTTACGACGTTTCGGCCACCACCATCATACTTGAAGAAATCCACCGTGAAGGCCAAAAGGTCGTACAATAAACATACATTAAAACATATGTGAGTTCCATAAAAGTCTTAGGGCCAATTTCACCAACAACAGTCCGTTATTCTCGACCTATAGGGTAACAGCCCGCCAAATACAGCGAATGAGCTTCAAGTTCCAATCAACAAATTTTAGCAACCAATAGCTATGAAATGTTGAAAACAAAATATTGTCAAAGTATGAGATGACATCTTGTCATTGAAACATCACCAGCTTATTGAATATTAAGAAATTACATATAATTCAGTCAAAATTTAAAGAAATGTTTGATTTTTGAATAAAATTCATGTTTTAATTAGCATTGTTGATTGTTTATTCATGATAATATTATTTTCTTCAATTGATTAGCGATTTTACTGATTAAAGATCATCTACTGGGTGTTTTTTCCTATAAACCTCTTCCAGGTAGCCATTAAGCGACTACTTGATGAGTGGCTCTACCAAAAAGTTCATAGATATTGCTCGTTTCCAAACATTCATTCATTTACTTGCCGTTCATCAGAACCATTATGGCACCTTACATTGATATTCCCACAAAACCATTCTGATTTTTTAATATCCATACATCCATAAAGTTGAATATTTTTCGTTGTTCAGGAACTTAACAAACATCCACACTATATTCACAGCGATTAAGAAATACCCAAATATATGTAGTAGAGCTACCAGCAAACCTAAAACCTGCAGAAAAACTAGAAATTTGCAATATTTTTCTTTTTTCACTGAGTAGATATTCTGGGTTATATTTATATTAGACGTTATTTGAATACAGCTGATTATTGCATTTCAAGGAGTGACACATGTGTGGACTCTGTCAACTCTTGGTACCAGTCACAAAACATACTCTGAAGGTTTAATTCCATGCTATTCAAACACAACACGGTGACTTGTGTGGTTGTCAGCGGCCATTTTGTGAGGGTTCGACAATGTTGCCAAATTGTGCATTAATATCCCGTTTCACCCTCCTGGTCCCAGTGGAGTAAGTTCCGCCAACTGTTGAAATATACTCTACTATGCTTTATAAGACTATTCGTGACATTTTTCCCAAAATCATTTCACATCACTTGAAAAAATGCAAATGAAAATTTAAAATTATTTTCATGACGCCGCAAAATAGCTCCGTCGGTACCTTGGGTTATACATCTTGACAGTAGGGATGTTCGATAGGATCCTATATTTAGAAGTACCAATACATTTCACGAGTATCGTCATCTTTCGATCCGGACTGTGTCAGAAAGAGTGACTGCCGTTTGGCTGCGACATTACCCTGCCAAATCAGACATATCTTTCATCATTTTCAAAGAAGCTGTACAAAATCTTCAAATTTGTGAAGTTAGCGTGTTTCACTTCATACGTTCTTACCAGACATGCCCAAATCAGTTGCTGCCGTGATATTCATCCCGACCACTGCATCCCCACGGCTAGGCAACCTGTATGTTAAATTTGTATTGATAGGACAGCGGGTTATGCTATAAATCATATGTCACAGTATTTGTGCACTGATTGCAATGGTTAGATGATACCAAAAATATTTTCATAAATAGGAGATCTTTCCCATTCCGGATCGAACCATCTACCAAAGATGCTTATAATTTATTTATTTATTTATTTATTTATTGAAATCCACCACCAACACACAACAATAGAAATAGTAAAAAAAACATATAAAAATACGAACGAAACGAAACGAAAACTAAAAACTAAATCATTTCACTGCAAACTCTCTTAATATTCGAAATACTTGTGTTGAACAAATCAAATGTACTCTGTAGACTATTATAACATGAACACATCGAGTACAAAGGTGAGTGCAACAGGAAGTTAGTTCGTGGGGTAGGTAGGTAAAAAGTGAGTGTATTGCGAGTAACAAATTTTGGAGCATTAAATTTAATCTGTGCTAGAAATGATGGACAATCATAACTGCTATGCACTACTTTATGCAGGACTATTAGCGAGTGAATCTTTCTTCTGTTATCAAGACTGATAAACTTGTGCTTACGTTAACAGGTCTTCCTGTGGGACCCCAATGGGTGGGTACGTACCGTCAATTTTGAATGAAAGAAATTTCAGAAATTTCCGCTGAATCTTCTCCAGAGAGCCACAAGTTGTAACATAGCATGGATTCCATATTAGCCGTCCATATTCTAATTTAGACAGTATGAATGAATTATAAAGCATAATCATGGCATCTTTGTTACTTAATTCCTTTGAGTTACGTATTACAAATCCTAATAATCTGTTGACAGCATTAATAAGGTACTCAATATGAGGATTGAAGCTAAGTGACATGTCAAAAATCACACCCAGGTCCTTGCATTCTTGTACTCTCAGCAGAGAATGATTGCCAATTCTGTAGTCAAATGCAATAATATCTAGCTTTCTGGTGTAAGACATAACACTACATTTACTGTAGTTAATTGGAAGTCGATTTACAGCACACCATTTAACTATTTTGGCTAGGTCTTTTTGTAAGTGAGCACAGTCAGTGCTGCAGCCGACATTGGAAAAAATTTTCAGATCATCAGCATAGATTAAGTGGCTGCTGTCGATGTCGCTAACAATATCGTTTATGAACAGTATGAAAAGCAAAGGACCTAGGCAGGAGCCTTGAGGTACCCCTGAGGTTGGGAAGAATTCAATGGATTTGACTCATATTCAACATATTGCTTTCTTCCTGATTGATATGACTTAAGAAAGGATAACAGCTTGGGGGAGAATCCAAAATAGCTCAGCTTCGTTAACAGAAAGCTGTGATCAAATGCTTTACTAAAATCTGTATAAATTACATCCACCTGGCTATTAGCATCTAATGCAGAGGAGACTGACTGAGTAAAATAGGCTAGGTTAGTTATGGTTGATCTACCCTTCATAAAGCCATGCTATTTGGGAACGTGTATTGTGGTATAGGACATTATGAAGCAAAGTTTCTAAGGCCTTGGAAAAGATACATACTAGGGTTATCGGTCTATAATTTTCAACCTGTAGTCTATCACCCTTCTTGAAAATGGGACGCACCTTTGATTCGCCCAAATTTCAGGAAACGTGTCAGTCTTTAAACATAGGTTGAAGATCTTTGTCAAGGGATGAGCTAAGACTTAGGCACAGTCACGCACTAAAAATGATGGGATTCCATCGGGTCCGGAGGTGAATTTATTTTTCATTTGCTTTAACACTGTAAAAACTTCTTCTTCGGAAAAGCTCTGAAGTATTATGTTAGTATGCAAGTCCGAAATATTGATATCAGTTGCGTTCGAGGGCATAGTATATACAGATTGAAAAAATAGCGCAAAAGCATTAGCAATTTCATTGGGTTTGTCATACTGCTTACCATTATAGTTTACTTGGCTGATTGTGGACTTTTGTCCCCTTTTATTACAGATAAATGACCAGAAATTGTTCGGATCCTGAGATAGGCTACTTTGGATATCTACTAGATATTTTTCATCGCGCTTAATTTTGGTCCTTAAGTCTTTGAACTCAGTGTATGTGATCAAACTTTTATCCTTTTTAAACTTTTTGTGCAGCAAATTTTTTCTTTTAATGTCTCTAATCATTTCACCGTTAAACCAAACTGGAAAATTGAGAGATCTGAGACTTGTCCTAGGGACATACATATTAAAAATTTTACGAAGAATGTTATAAAATGTTTCCAAAGCTACGTTTACATCTGTTAAATTGTCAAGAAACGTCCAATTAACCAAGCTTATTTGTTCATATAGTGCTACAAAATTGGCTTTTCTGAAATTATATGATTCTCTGGCGCATTTGATACTTTTTATAAGCCTTAACGACGCTACATTGTTTATTTGATAACACTAAATCTAATAGCCTATTATTTTCATTCCGAACATCATTGAATTGAGAAAGATCGAAGAAACCCATAAATGACTGAATTGTTTTCTGCTTGTGAGAAGATTGGAGGTGATTTTCATTAACAAATTCGGGAACATTAAAGTCACCTAGTATATAAATACTTTTGCCAAAGAGGTAATCAAGCGATTCTAGATGTTCAAAGAATCTTTCATAGCAGGAAGTACTCGTGTCAGGCGGTATGTATATCACAAAGAAATAAGTCACTTCATTTTTATATCTAAGTTTGATTCCAATTGTCAATACTGGGAATATCGTCTTTGATAAAAGTCATATTTACATACCTCTGATGCAGCAAGTTGATTACGAATACCAATTAAGACACCACCTCCTCTAGAACACCCCATCGCAGAGAAATTTCTGTCCGTTCTAAATACAACATATTTGTCAGTAAATAATTCAGAACTAAGTACTGCAGACTGCAGCCAAGTTTCAGTACAACAGATGATATCATAGTCAGACATAGCGACATTTACAAAGAATTCTTTACACTTAGAGTTCATACCGCGTACGTTCTGGTAGTAAACAGAGATGCGACGATCAGAAAAGCTTTAAACTCCTCAACTTTTTGTAAGTAACATGGGCACCTGGAATCCCAAGCCGCATGTGACATGTCATAGTTGGTATTTCTGTCTAGATTATTTCTAACACAGTTAATACATTTTAAGTTCGTGGCCTTGCAGTTTTTCAGTAAGTGGCTATCGCCACACCGAGGACAGTGAGTTTGGCTCTTACATTGACTAGAAACATGGGAGAAACCACTGCAATTGAAACATCGCTTGATAGAAATTTCATCATACACGCCACAAACATCGTACCCCGCGAATAACTTACCCTTGTTGACTGACATAATTTTATTATAAGTACCGTAGTCTAATTGAAGGATGGCTTGGAAAATGTCAACTCTTTTCTTGATTGGCTTAATGTCTAGAACTTTACATTCAAATTTCCCACTTAGCACATCTTTTCTCATTTTGAGACTTAATGGAATTAATAAAGTTTTCCGCAGATTGTTTTTGAGTCATACCCGCAACCCGTACTCTAGGACTGAATCCAGCATGATACCTAGTAAATTTTCACGAAAAAAATGCAAAACCAGCAAATGTAAAAGATTCATTTCGCACTCTCCACCACGGGACGTGATCGTCGTTAGACTTGGCAACCCTCGAGTGACAGATAGATATCCCCCGCCAGTCAAAAACACAAACAATAAACATTACTAGTTTTGATTTTTGGACTTAAAAGGACATTATTTGTGAAACATTATTCATAATTTTTGTCCATAGTAATTGCATTATGCATCAGGGAGATGTAGGGATTGACACGTCTTACACATATTATCTGTGTTTTAGGATCGAGAGGACATAATGTTTTTATTGCTTTGAAGAAATTCATTAACCCATAAATTAATAAATGATTACTATTATGACGTAAAGAAAGATGAGGAATTGGATGGAATGTATTTTATATTCTATTTTCTTGCAAAATACAGACAAATCCACACTATTCAACAGGTATGTAATGATAACTTTCAGTATATTGAAGTTGGTACATTCGAGAGTGCCATGCATTAACAAACGTACAAATCTGCTGCAAAAGTTAACAGCTAGAAACTCGAGCTATTATTTGCCGCATTCCCATTCGCTGAGGGGGATAACGGATTGTTAAATGTAAACCTATAACATGTATCAAAATACATGAAAGTTGTCCTGTTTTTTCTGTACAAAAGCATCATGTTGGAATCAAAAAGTGGTCTTGTTTATAATACAGTCGAATTTTCACGATTTTATTCAATATTTCAATAGAAATCACTGATATTCTGAGAGCTTTGACAGCCTCCGTAAAATTGCATTTCGATAAGGTACTTTCCCATTGGTCCTTAATATTAATGTTGGTGAAATCGGCCCTTAATATGTTTAATTTCTCTGTTCTATATGTCCGTAACTCAATATTTTCTGAGAGGACTACAATTGTGCTGAACTTAACTGAAGGCGGCATTGCGTAGGAAGTGCAGAGTCAATCCACTTGACGCCATTTTTTACATTGTATTGATGGTTTTCGAGATTTTCGGTCAAACGTTTAGCAAAATGACGCCAAATACTCCACCCCTATCATGACGACAATTTGAACTTATCATTATCATATCATCTAATTATACTACCAAACAAAATTTAGTGTAGCAAATGTTGTAGAATTTTCTTATACAGAGACTCTATAATTCTTGGCCTATATGCTGAACCGCAAGAGTAGGTGCTTTACCTGCAATACCTAAATACCTTCTTCATAAACTGCTTTAAGCTTACATATTCACGTATTATCTCGAACCTGCTGCGTTTCATGGAATCCAACTTCGTGGGTCTCAAGTTATATTAGACAAATTAATAATATCCCATTTAGAAATTATCTTCAATCTTTCCCAGAAGCACTGGGACCTGAGAGCTATGATAGTTTTTTCAACAACTTTGTTAATTAGCGTATTTCGACTGAGATCAGATATTTTCTTGAATATTTACTCTCCATTACATACTGATTTTTGAAAAGGTCTTATTTTCATCCGTAGTAACTATGTTTTGAAACGGTCAAGTGAATTAATATTTTAACGCAAGAGTTACAGTTGAAACTTTTTTTAATGAACGTGAAGTCATATGATACGTCATTGTGAAATATTCTATCAGCATGTTAAGCCCTCGGATAAAATCACTATGGCCCCGTTCATCACAACGTAGCACAACTGCAGCTAAAACTTTCAGCACTTTTCAGAAGCCTTCTAACCGCTGAACGGTTATTTTGACACATGCCACTGGGCTTGTCAGTTGTCAGCTTTCGGGTCTGACGTTAAAAAACAATTAAATATGTTATAGGTAACGAAATTTTACAATTTTGTAGCATGAGATGAATCTTTGGTAATTTAGTGACTGTCTAGAGATTGTTTTATATCATTAAGTTCTATTTTAGTTCTTTCTTTTTATTTTCCCCTGCTTGTTAATTAATATTGGAATTTTCTATTACAACTTTCTATATCAGCTTAACAAGAGATCTAAACTGTTCTCAAGCCGGGCATAGCAAACAGAGCACATTCAACCCCATGAAACAGAATTTAATGTATCACTTGATCAAGAGCGGAGATGAAATAAATGGCGACTCCTCCGGTAGCGCCCAAACTGATCATGTGCGCAGTGGCGACGCGTGACTTTTCCTAAACTGTTACCAAAAAAAGTTTATTTTGAACCTCCCAAATATAAGTTTTTGATTATTTTTGGTATTTTATTTGAACTATTTTTAAATTAAGGTAAACATTCCTGGACTGAGCGTCTGGGGCACCTGATATACCTCATCGTCTTATGTTATGACTAATCCAAGCCGTCCGAAAAAACAGTCGACGTTTCTAGATGTTCGGAAAATTTTTGATCTTTTTTGGCAATGAATGTTAACAATTCCCTGTAGTTTCCTCTATTGTCAGGGACATCCCCTTCAAAAAGAACGGTAATTCCTGTTTTGCCAAAAAACATACGGTATCTAGAAGTGTGCTGCCTAAAAGCTTGGTTAAGACAACTTTCGATTCTTGTTTTGCCAAACTGAATTAAATTGGCTCCACATCTCTCATGTAACGGAGAAATTTCATGTCTCCTCTTTAGAGCCCTAAAACTATTTAAATCGTTGACTCCGCTGCTGATCCACCCATTTTTTTCTGTATAAAACAGAAGACATCGCCAACAATACAATCTGTTTGTTTGCAACCACATAACCAAGAGTTTCCATATACCAACTTAATTTAAAATATCCAACTACGTTTATTTATTCCTTTTTAAAATTATCTAAAATAGGTGTTTGTCTTCCATTTTCAATTATCTCCTTTTCTTCTTAAAAATTAAACAAGGAGAATGACTTTTCAAGTAGTTGATCGATTACGCAGCGACACTCAACCATCTTTAATTGCACGCACACAACGGCGCATATTTGCGTGGGGCTAATTTGCAACTTACTGAATTACAATCACATATCGCTGTTGGTAAACAAATAAATGAAATTATTTCACAGTACGTAGTCATAAAATATTTATTTTTAAGATTTATAACTGTTACCAATGGTAACAATGGTTACATGGACGCTTCGCCACTGCATGTGCGTCCAGCAGAAAATAAAATATCGCTAGAGTAGCGACACGTTGTGATGAACCGCTTTTAACTCAACAACTAATGCTCAAATCGCTAAACTACTTCTTTTTGGAAGGGACTATCTGAACCTTTAATAAAATATACAATCCTTTTTAAAAAAAGACACTTTTTGCATTTTTTAATTGACATATTCCACATTTTGATATATATCCGAATAGATCCTTGTCCTTCCAAGAGAAGAATATCGGTATAACAATTTATTGCGTTTTGATTATTATTTGCTTTGTTATAAGCGCTTGAATGTACAAATCAACCCCCTTTACTGTATGAATAATCCGATCCACAGCTTTTCTGATGACAACACTCTACATGCAGGAATTTAAAGTGGCAAGCCGATCTCTCATGGTGAGCTGGAGAAAAAGGTTTAGCAGCGACTTCCTCTCTGGCGAGAGACCTGGAGGTTATCACTGCTTGGGGAAGCAACTACCTGGCACAATTTGATGCTCCCAAAACACAGTAATGCATATTGACTAACAAGAGGCGCCCCAGCGCTCATTCAGTTTCGATGGATGGTCGAGTTCTACCAAAGAGCCGTTAATTTCGACTGGTTAAAGTCCAGATCACTGAGGACTTGATCTGGCACGAACACATCTCATCAATCGCAGGCGCAGCCGGGACACGGTGGGTTATAGATACAACTTTCAAATAATATGACGACCAACACAATCTGAGGGGGAGATGGTTATCACGACCACGAGCGTAGACGGTCCCCTTAGCTTACGGAGATATGCTAATATTATCTGTAAACCCAAAATCGAGATAGTATCGCACAAGAAATGTGTAGTGAAATTGGTGTCTGAAGAAATTAGGACATGAATTTAGACATTTAATCGAGAACAACATAAAAACGACACAACGTTTCTGGGTAATGTTTTGGACATAGACTTCCAGTCGCCGTTCATTTCGGTCCCTGCAAATACTGTTTCACCATTATAATGTTAAACCCGAGTGCCGGTACCCTTCAGTTGTAAATCATCTTAATTTTCAAAACTTAAAACTTGCGAATTATTTCATGCTACGTTCGTAGTTACGTGTTAAAGTTCTCCTGAAAGTTGGGTCAGTATCTTGTAGCGTTCAGGGTCTGCTCCCCTATTTATATGCCACTGCACGTTGGCATTCAACTTTCTGATGTAAAAATTACAGAAAATTCAAGTTAGATGAAATTGTCCAAATAGAAACAAAAATAACGATCCTTTGTGGGCATAAATTTCAATCAAGCTTTCCGTGAAGAATTCCGTTTTCTTCGGCAAAAACAAGAAATGCGTGTTTTTTGTCCACCTTTGTCTCTACAACATAAGAGACATTCTTTAATACAGAATGCCAATTGC